CAGCCTCCTCGGCCTCGGCGCCGCCCGCGCCGAGGCCGCCGCCCAGGCCGCGGCCGCGGCGTCCGGCTCCGGCGCGGGCGTCTCGGAGTTCGCGCCCTCCGCCGAGTTTCAGGAGCCCGCTCCAAGAGATTCTTTCTCGGCGTTCTCCTCCTCATCCTCCTCCTCCTCCTCCCTTCCTCCTCCTCCTCCTCGTCCTCCTCCTCCTGCTCCTCCTCCTCCTCATCGTCTTCCTCCTGCTGCTCCTTCTCCTCCTCCTTCTCCTCCTCCTCCTCCTCCTCCTCCTCTTCCTAGGAGGTGGACCTGTTAAAAAATCACGACGGGCTCTTTTCGCCGCTTTCGGCCTCCTCGGGAGGCCCTCGGCCAGCCCCAGGGGCGTCCCCCAAAAACGGTTCAGGACGAAAAGCCGGTTCCAGGGGGTGGTCGAGGGTCGAGGCCTTAGTGGGCCCCGGAAACGACAGGGCCGTCTTTTTGCCGGTTTTATTCTGCCGTTTTCCTGCCGGTTCCGACGCCGTTTTTTTACCAGTTCCGTCGCCGTCTTTTGTCCGGTTCCGGCTCCCGTTTCAATCCTGGAGCCGTTTTTTTGCCGTTTTCGGTCGCCTTTTTTTGCCGTCTCCATTTTTAAGGGACAATTTTTTGGAAACGGTGAAAAAACGGCCCTGCCGTTTCTGGGGCCCACAAAGGTCGAGGCTTCCGTGGACCCCGCATGGACAAAAATCAAGAAACCGGCCCCCTGGGTTTTTGAACACCCTGGCGCTAGCGGGCGTGACCAGGGAGCGGGGGGACAGGGGGGAGGGGGCTGGTCACGTCAAGATTCACGCCGGCGCCGTCTGGGCATGCCCAAGAAGGGCTCACTCCCAGCCGGTGCTGGGGCGAATCGTGACGTGAGCAGGGGGGGGGGGATGGGCGGGGCCAGTCACGGGCATTATCGCGAGTATCAAGAGAATGGCTCCAGGCCGCGGAAGCCTCCAGCGAGAGGGGCCAGGTCGACAGCGCCGCTGAGGCCGTGGCTGGGGTTGCCGCTGGACTGCCCTGGGGCGTTGGCTCGCCGCGCACCGGCGACTCGCTGCCCGTCTACCACTACTCCGCCATGCCGATGATTGACGGCCCCAAGGAGTGTACCAGCCTGGGGCGTATCCCTGCCCTTATGATTGGCATCACCCTTTCTCGATGCCGATCTCCAGGACTCCCTCCGTTTCTGAGGGCGCACCCCTCAGATTGTTCCTGCCTTTGGGCCTGTCAATCTTGGGGGTAGGGAGAAGGTCGAGGCTGGTTAGGAGTGGGAGTACAGCCTGGAGAGCGGGGACAACATCCAGAGCTTCAGCAGCGCCCAGCAGGACGTGAAGCTGCTGACGCAGGTCTTCGAGAATGTCACCAACGGCTTCTACGTGGACTCCAACGCCGGGGACGGCGAGATCGACAGCAACACGCTCCTGCTTGAGCTTGCTGGCTGGCGCGGCCTCATCATGGAGCCCCGCCCATACTATTACATGAACCTCTGGAGCAAGTGGCGCAAGGCCTGGCTCTTCCTGGGCTGCCTCTCCCCGCACGAGAACTCCACAAAGATCGGCTTCGACACCGACGGCAACATCGACATGCTGAGTGGGCACAAGATCCACGCCCACCCCATGAAGGCCTTCATGGCCGAGATGGGCGGGCGCAAGACGATCGACTTCTGGAACCTGCGCAGCGGCAACTACGAGGCCGAGATTCTCAACGAGACCCTGCTGGGCTCCGGCGGCTTCCTCGAGTTTGGCGTCGTCCTTGTCCGCTTCGACGGCCGTCGTGCGGGGCGCGGCACGGAGCCGTATGTGCAGATGAGGTCGAGGGACGCGACCGAGGAGCTCATCTTCGAGATCTGCAACAACGCCAGCCTGAGGCACATCGGTGGCCTCGACCCGTACTGGATCAACCACGTCGAGCCGCGCTACGGGTTCAGGGACGAGGTCTTCGGAGGCAAGGAAACAGCACAAGCGTAAACTTTCGGAGGTCCGCGCGGATTCAAGTGACTGGCGCTGGAACCTCCTCCCTGGCGCGCGAAGCACAGAGGCGCCGCCAGGGGCGTCCAGCGCCGACCCAAGAAGTCCGCACGGACCTCCAGAAGTTTGATGTCCGTGCCGCTTGTTGTCCCTCTAGAGGTCTGGGTGAATCCCAGGTACTTCGAGACGCGGGGCATCCCGACGCCCGCGGCGATCAAGTCGGCGCCGCCCCCGCCGCTGGCCGACTACTCCCCGCACCCAGCCGCTGGGACGGGGGACTTCCCGTGGGACCGCGGCTACAGCAGGGTCGAGGAGATCGGCAGGGTCAAGCTGTACTTCAACAAGAGCAAGTCGGAGGCTGCCCTGATGGAGCCTGTCCCGAAGGCCCACCGTGTGGGCGCGACGAAGCTGGTCTATTAGGCGACGAGCAGCGCCTCACATAGGCGACGAGGAGCGCCGTGTGTCCCATTTTGAGCTGGATGCCAGTGAGTTTGGTTGGGCTTGCGGCGCATTCAGATGAGAAAAAATGGGCCATCTCCTAATCCTCTTCCTTCCAATCCTAATCCTCCTCCTCCTCCTCCTCCTCCTCCTCCTCCTCCCCCCTCCTCCTCCTCCTCCTCCTCCTCCTCCTCCTCCTCCTCCTCCTCCTCCTCCTCCTCCCCCTAATGCGCCCGCGGGGGGGGGGGGAAAGATGGAGGAGGGATGGGGGAGGATGAGAAGGGAGGGGGATGATGATGATGCTGCTGCTGATGATGATGCTGTTGTTGATGGCGGTTATTCTGATGATGATGTTGATGCTGATGCTGATGCCGATGCTGATGCTGATGCTGATGCTGATGATGCTGATGAAGCTGCTGCTGCTGCTGATGATGATGATGATGATGGGGGTGGTGATTCTGATGATAATGATGACAGTAGTGATGCAGATGGTGATCATGCGGATGCTGATAGTGACATGATGACGATGCCGATAACTATAAGAGATACTGATGGTGCAGATGATGATGCTGCTGAAAGTGATGATGACGGTGATGGTGATGGTGATGGTGATGGTGATGGTGGTGGTGGTGGTGGTTGTGATGATGATGATGATGATGATGACGATGCTGGTGATGGCTATGACGATGCTCAGCATGATGATGATGCTGCTGCTGCGGATGATGCTGATAAGGATGCTGCTGATGGTGGTGGTGGTGATGTGATGATGATGATGATGATGGTGATGATGATAACGATGATGAGGCTGATGATGATGCTGTTGCTGATGCTGCTGATGCAAGTGTTGAATTTGATGACGATGACGACGATGCTGATGATGAGGACTATGATGATGCTGATGCTGCTGCTGCTGATGATGATGATGATCATGATGATAATGATGATGATGATGGTGATGGTGATGCTGATGATGATGATGATGGTGATCATGGTGAGGAGGATGCTGCTTCTGCTGATGATGATGAGGAGGAGGGGGAGGGTAATGATCACGAGGAGGAGGAGGATGAGCAGGAGGAGGAAGAGGAAGAGGAGGAGGATAAGGACGAGCAGGACGATGCTGATTATGATGATGATGATGATGATGATGATGATGATGATGATGATGATGATGATGATGATGATGATGATGATGATGATGATGATGATGATGATGATGATGATGATGATGAGGTTGAGGATGAGGTTGAGGATGAGGATGATGCTGCTGATGCTGATGCTGCTGATGCTGATGCTGCTGCTGCTGATGATGATGCTGATGATGCTGCTGACAATGATGATGATGAGGAGGCGCCCAGCGTTTCCCAGGAGGTCTCCCATTGGGTTCCCAGAGAGGGTCAATCATACCCAAGACGTGGCTTGGGAAATTTCCTCCGCCTCTTCGACCTCCTCCTCAACCTCCTCCTCTTCCTTTCCCTCTTCTACTTCTCTTCATCCTTCCACCGCCTACTCCTCATCCTCCATCGTGTCCCCGCCTCCTTTCCAGAGATCCGATGTCCATGCATTTGTCAATACGGGGTCCACGAAATCCAAGTACTTTCCCCAGGGTTGCCTGTTCATCCTGAGTCGTTTCGTTGACGGTCCTGTGGTCCAGAGGGGTCTCTCAGAGGCGGAAGCCTGCGATAAAGCTTTCGACCTCCTTCCCATCTCCTTTTCTTACCCATCCCCCTCCCGCACCACCCCTTCCCCCCTGCGTCCTCCGCCTTCACTTCCTCCTTCTGCCCCCTTCTCCTTCTCCCGCTCCCCCTCCTCCTCCTCCTCCTTCTCCTTCTCCTCCTCCTGCTCCTCATCCTCAACCTCTGGACTGCTTGCCACCTCGAGCGCAGCACTTCCCCAGCAATGGTTTCTGACTGAAGCCTTTCCGCGGAGCTCGGATCCGGTCCGATCCTCCTCGACCTCCTCCTCCTCTCTTCTTCCTCCTCCTCCTCCTCCTCCTTCTCCACCTCCTCATCCTCCTCCTTCTCCACCTCCTCATCCTCCTCCTCTTTCTTCTCCTCCTCCTCTCGTCATCCTCCCCTCCCTTCTCAACCTCCCCCACCTTCCCCCCCTCTTCTCTTTCGCCTCCTCCTCCTCCTCCTCCTCCTCCATGTCCTCCTTCTCCTCCTCCTCCTCATTCTCCTCCTCCTCCTCCTCCTCCTCGTCATCCTCCTCCTTCTCCTCCCCCTCTTCCTCCTCCTCCTTCTCCTGCCCCTCCTCGTCATCCTCCCCCTGCTTTCTCAACCTCCCGCTCCCTCGTCCACCTTCCCCCCGCGAGCGCAGAACGAGGAGGAGGAGGAGGAGGAGGAGGAGGAGGACCAGTGTAAACCCAAGAGTCATCAACGATGTTGGAGTAAACCCTTCCTCCAAGTTTCCTCTTCATAGGCCCCTACAATGGTTCATGTCCATTGATGGAACTGCCTCGTTGGAAGACACCCGTTTGAAGACCCTGAAGCATGCCGAAACAGTGTTCTCGGGATTTCAACGCCACGGATAAACCTGACTGTTGCGTCTTGACGATGCTGAATCGTGCCAGAACGCCGTTTTTGGGACGTCAACACCGCGAATCATTGTAACTGTTGCACCCGCGTAATCCTGAATACTTCCACCACGCAATTTCTGGTACGCTGATGATTGGAATCCGTGGAACCTTTGCAATTTTTTGCAACGAATGTGCGCGGCGCTACGGCGAGAGTCACATGTTGAAAACCACCCGCCCTCAATGCGCGAAGCTCGTTGCAAATTTCAAAACGAATGTGCGCCGCGCTAAGGCGAGAACCACATTAAAAAAACACCCGGTCTCCATCTGTGCGCGGCGCTAAGGCGAGAGCTACACTTCGAAACGACCCGCCCTCCATCTGTGAAGCTGAAGCCAATCTTTAATCTTCAGAGTCATCAGTGGTGAGGAAGTCTCAGGCGAAACGCCCGGCCCGCCCTAAAAACTGGCCTCGGGGTGCGACATGGAGAAGTTATCGCAAGGAAAAGGAGTGTAGGATGAGGTGGAGGAGGATCCACACCCTCGACCTCCCCGTCCTGCTCCGCCGTCCGAGCTCTCTCAGACATCGTCTCCTGGACCTGTTCTGGGGTGCGTTCTGGCCAGAGTTCTGGGGGGACTCCAGCCGTGGCGACGAGGGGTGCCTCGGACGACCATGTGGGGCTCCCCCTCCCGCTGCTCCTCCTTCGCCTCCATTTCTTTTCCTTATAAGTAGGTTTTCCCTGCCGCAACCCGAGCCGGGCGGGCTGGGCGTTTTGCCAGAGACTTCCTCACCACTTATGACCGTGAAGTTTAAGAAGTGGCAACAGTTTCGCAGATGGAGGGCGGGTGGTTTTCAAAATGTGGCTCTCGCTTTAGCGCTGCGCACATTTGGTTTTTGTGTTAAAAAACAGCAAGAGCTTCGTGGATTGAGGGCGGGTGGTTTTCAAATTGTGGCTCTCGCCTGAGCGCCGCGCGCATTGTTTCAAAACCGTTGCACGAAATTAACGGATTGAGAGCGGGTGGTTTTCAACATGTGGTTCTCGCCTTAGCGCGGCGCCCATTCGTTTAAACAAGTTGCAAGAGTTTCACGGATTGACGGCGGGTGGTTTTCAACATGTGGCTCTCGCCTTAGCGCGGAGCACAGTCGTTTTAGAAATTCGCAACGGTTCCACATATTGAGGGCGAATGGTTTTCAACATGTGGCTCTTGCCTTAGCGCCCGCGCACATTCGTTGTATAAACTTTGCACGGGTTTGACGGATTGCGGGTGGGTGGTTTTCATAATGTGGTTCTCGCGTGGACGCCGCGCACATTCGTGTTATAATTTTTCAAGAGCTTCACGGATTGAGGACGGGTGGTTTTCAAACTGTGGCTCTCGCCTTAGCGCCGCGCTAATTTGGAGCAGATACAAGAATTTCACGCAATAATCGGGTGGTTTTCAACATGTGGCTCTCGCCTTAGCGCGGCGCATATTCGTTCTCAAAGTTGCAAGGGTTTCACGTATTGAGGGCGGCTCCTTTACAACATGTGGCTCTCGCCTTAGCGTCGCGCGCATTTGTTTCAAAACCGTTGCGCGAATTTCACGGATTGAGGGCGGGTGGTCTTCAACATGTGGCTCTCGCCTTAGCGCCGCGCTTATTTGTAACAAACACAAGAATTTCACGCAGTGATCGGGTGGTTTTCAACATGTGGCTCTCGCCTTAGCGCGGTGTATATTCGTTTTCAAATTTGCAAGGGTTTCACGTATTGAGGGCGGCTCCTTTGCAACATGTGGCTCTCTCCTTAGCGTCGCGCGCATTTGTGGAAATAATTTGCAAGAGTTTCACGGATTGATGGTGGGTGGTTTTCAGAATGTGGCTCTCGCTTTGGCGCCGCGCAAACTCGTCGTAATCATTTGTGGCAGTTTCACGGATTGAGGGTGGTTCTTTTTCAACATGTGGCTCTTGGCGTAGCGCCGCGCACATTCGTTTCAAACATTTGGAAGAGTTTCACGGATTCCCATGATCAGCGTACCAGACACGGTGTTTTGGAAGGATTCAGGATGACGCGGGTGGAACAATTATGTTGGTTCGCGGTGTTGAAGTCCCAAAAATGATGTTCTGGCACGATTCCGCATCGTCAAGACGCAGCAGTCAGGTTGTTCCGTCGCGCTGCAATCCCGAGAGCACTTTGTTTGGCATGCTTCAGGGTGTTCAAACGGTTGTCTTCCAACGAGGCAGTTCCCTCAATGGAAATGGGCCTATGAAGAGGGAACTTGGAGGGAGGGTTACTTCCGACATCGTTGATGGCTCTTGGGTTTACACTGGCCCTCCTCCTCCTCCTTCTCCTTCTCCTGCTCCTGCTCCTCCTCGTCCTCCTCCTCCTTCTTCTCCTCGTTCTTCTTCTTCTCCGCCTCCTCCTCCTCCTCCTCTTCCACCTCCACCTCACCCCTCACAGCGAAGAAGAACTGGCGCGACAAATGCAAGTTTTCGGAGCTCCGCGCAGACTTCTTGGATCTGCGCATGGGAGGGGGGTCCACCGCCGATCCGAGACATCCGTGCGGAGCTCCGACAGTTTACGTCTACGCCGTTTTGTTTTG